CCAAGCCTGCGACAGCTGTATGAATAGTCATCCATGACATCTGGACAGCCTTATTTGTTTGCTTTTATGGCTTCATTTCCTTTTAATTTCCAAAAGGTAGATTAGATTCAGCTTTTCACTCTGGTATGCTAATTGTAGACTGTCTTCTCCTTTACCTTGTAATTATTCCAGTGAATGGGATGTAAGATTCCTTCACAAATTGTTCTGTGATTGTCACTGGCAGTGGCATTTGTCCAAAAGTAGGTCCATCAGTTACTTCAGACCTTTGTTTCCGGAAGTAAAGTTTTTAAGAATTTTGTCATAGCAATAAAGAACAAGTATTTAATCTCACTAGAAATCTGTTTTGTGAACAAACTTTACAACTTTATGCATCTAGAAGCTGAGATTTCTTCCCCCCTTTATCAGAAAAATTAAAAAGGTAAAATCACTGTAACATATTTAAAACAGTTTTAACACATAGCAGGCTTTCCCTTTGCTGATGCCTTTTATTCCCATCACATCGAAGTTAGCAGTATTCTTTGAATCTGTTTCAAATCTCTCATTGACTGAAATTTATCTTAAATGAAGAAAGAAATTTCTCTGGGGTTTACTTTCACAGAAATAGTTTCTTTTACATTGGAACAGCATTCACAGTTATCTGAAAATACACTTGTGTGTTGGATTTGTTTGAGAGTTGTTCCATCTAAGTACAGCCCTGTCTCAATCTGTTTGTTAAGTGAAAGAAAGCAATTCAGAGCACACAGGTTAGCTTTCCGTGCTGAACTTTTTTTTTTTTTTTTTTGGAGGAGTCTCCCAATTGGCTGAAGATAAGTGTTTTAAATCAGTGGTCCACAGAGCACTGGTAAAGCATTGTAAGGTTGGTTAACAAAACAAATAGAATACCAAATTAGTAAAGCTCATACAATCACCTTTGTTTATGTGTTAATGAAACAGAGTGGGGGAGGAAGTAAAAGTAATAAATGAACTTTCCAAGTGTCTTTTCTTTGATGCAAATTGAAACAGTTGTAAAAGTGTTGAGCAAGATGGTCTTTGCATGTTTTTTCCTAAAAGAAAAGTAACTCCTCAAGTAAAAAATGTTGAGAAATGCTATTGGGGGGGAGCTGAGACAGTTAACTTAGTCATCTGACTTGAATAGTGAGGATGTTCCACTCTTTCTTTTTAGTGCTGTTTCTTTGTTCTGTACTTTTAAGTTAACTTTCTGGTTTTGACCCCGTTTCCAAGTATAGAGGGCAGAGATACCCAAAAACGGCTAAAGGCACTGAATGCTGCTGTCCTGAGATTATCCAGGAACATCAAGGAATTGCAGGATGAGAATCAAAGGCTGAAAGAAGATCTCGATCATGTACTGAGTAGTTCTGCTCCTTCCAGTAAAACAAAAAGTATGTGCTGAAAAGTTGGTGAACGTGGGACAAGGGATTTAGGTGCATTTAAAAGATGTGTTTGAGAGCAGGACCCTACAGTGGTAGAAATAAGGGAGTTATTACAAAGGTGAAGACTCAAGAGGGGCAAAGGTTGGAATGACAAGTTTTTCACAGGAGTCTCTCTCTGACTTCTGGATATGCTGCTGCAGTCAGACCTGGGTTTTCTTTATTGTTATCCCTGAGAATTCTGGACTGGAATCACTTGAAGATTTAATGTCTCACTGGAAAGCTATTTTTCAGTTGTTGAAAACTGATGAATGTGAATTGTTTATATTGATTTCTGAGCTAATTGGTGAAGAAGTCAGATATTTTAAGACCATTCTCATTTTTTTTTATTGCTGCATATTTAAAGTTGAGGTTCAGAGGTCTTTAAATGGTCTTTCGATACGGACAGAAGTTTCAGAAAGCAAGAACAATGTTGACTCACTGACGCAGTTTCATGTTTAAAACTTTGTTATTGTATTTAGATTATAGTGAATGGAGCAGACAGAGGCTGGTGAGGCGGATTTCGGAACTAGAAGAAGTAAGTGATCACAATCATGTGGCCATCTTACCTGTCTTTGAGCAGAAAATGCAGAACCATTGGCTTGTGCTCATGACGTGTAGTCCTTCAGTTATCAGCCTTGTGCATTCTGGCTCATACGTGTAAGCTGATGTCTGTCCTATGTGCTCTTCCTCCCTTTTTTCTCTTCTCATACTTATTGTATATAGATGTACGTTTTAGAATTAACTTTCATTGATCTTTTCTCATGGCCTAAATAAAATCATTTTATGCTAAATTTAATTTTCTTCTTTTTTTTTTTTCCTTTTGTATTTTTTGTTTAAATTTATCCTGTTTAGAAAGTATGTGCCATGGAGAACACCAGGGTGTCATCAGCAGATAGTGAGTCATCACAGTTACTAGCTGTGTCATCTTCGCCTTCTGTAGACCCGAATCACCCAGCCTCTCAACAGGTAGACCATGGTGAGGAATGTCGTCGCCTCCAACGGCTAGTGATGAAACTGAAGAGTGATAGGAAGGCACTTCAAAATCTCCTACTCAATAAAGAGTAAGTGTGACTCTTGTCTGAGGTGTTTTTCTTTTGTAGGTGTGAATTATTTAATTGTTTCTTATCACATTATGAAACAATGTAATAAGTCCTTCACATTTTCAGCAAGAGAATGAATGTTGAGGGTCCCTTCAGCTTTTATTTCAAAAGCTTCTTCTAGTCCTACTAGTGTTGTAAAATTACACTGCAGAAAAGAAGTCAGTGAGAGGATGGAAAATGGGAATTTCTGCTTGTTTCTAACATATTTTTCAAGGCAGTTTTTTTTGCCAACCACACTGAAAAGCCTTTGAAGGCTTATATGTCACTTTATGCAGCACTTCCTGCAAGTATTTTCCTGTAAAAATTCGTCTTGTTTTTTCAACATGTTTTGTCCTGATCTGCCACGTTCTCCATTTAAGCCTGCCTTTTGCCATATGATGCACTGTGACTTTTCTCCCCAGTAAGCAATTGATTTGCAATTTGCATTGCTTGGATTCGTTTGGTGTGTCGGTGCATAAGGGCAGGCAGGTTAATCTGATCATCAGCAGAGATGTGCACACAACTCTGTGTTGTTCATAAGATGCTCTGCCTCCTGTGTCAACTCACCTTGAACTAAAATGCATAGTGAGAGCATGCAAAGAGGCCTTTTGTTTCTGAACAATGTATGCTTGCATTTTCTTTTGTTTAATAAAAAAAATAAACATTTCATTACTTTACAAATTTGAGAATCTCCTTTATTTAGAAGTTTAAAGAAAAAAATAACTGCTGTGCTAAAGTATAGATGTCGTAAGTATTGCTTAGATTTCCTTATACCTTTGTAGATTAGATATCAAGCAGTTACTGCAGGCTAAGGCTGAAGCGGAGCTGGAGTTGCAGAAGTGGCAGAATAAGATGGAAGAAAAGAGTACGGAAGATCAGACTTTAAGGTATTGTATTTTGTATTAGTAGATGTTTTCACAACCAAAAAAAAATGTGTTCAAGTATAATTCTCTTTTGAAGTGGCTCAAAATCCACAGGAGTTCATCTGAACTGCAGGAAGCTGAGAATTCATTTAAAAAGAACTATTTTGGAGTGATGGAGTAAGTCAGTAGGGTAAGAATTCTACAGAGTGGTTTTAGAGGGAAGTGGAAGACTAAGAGTATAGTAAAAATAAGAAATTATAAGAAAAATTAGTAAGATAAATGGAAAAAGAAATCTGCCGTGTTGGGCTCAAAGACTTTTTTCCGTTCTAAGAAAAAACTGTAGTATCTTTACCTTAGCCTAAGCTTCTAGACCATTGCCAATATGTCATTCCACTTACTTCATGTATTCTGTATAACTGTTGATGATAATCCTGTGCAAGGGTGGCAAAAAAAAAAGTGATTTCATTATTGCTTTTTAAGAAAGAACTGTGCTACAGTTTCATATTTTTCAGTCATCAGACCTAGATGCATTGTCATCAGATCTAGATATATTAATAATAGTATCAAAGGTACCATTGTAACCTTGAGAGTTGTTTGGGTTTTTTTAATTTTAACGTAAGGCTGTGCTATCACAATTTGAGAACTGATGTTACATGCCTGTTACTATGAGAATATGGATCGTGTTGTCCTGAGCAGTTTCCCAGTTTGGCCTTTAAAAAAGCCAAAGCAATCAAATCTTATTTTATATGTTCAGTGTTTTGAAAGCAGGAACAATAGAAAATTTCTAGCAATAAATATTTTTGCTTTTCCACCCATAGTGAGGAAATCCAGAACCTGACATGGAAAGTAGGGAAATTGGAGTCCAAAATGGAGGAAGAGAAGAGACAAATGGTGAAAGATACAATGGAAAAGCTTAATAAGGTACAAACACATGTTTTTGTTAGTTGTTTTTTTTCCCCTTGAATCTAATTAATATATTACAGATTGAGCTGATAGTCTAAATAGCTGCTGGTTGTGTCTTTTTAGAGGGGCATTAAATCTTGTCATAGAGATTCTGAATAATGGTTAATTCCCAGCATTTGTTGATAAGTTGTTTCAGTAATTCCCACTGCAACTTGGAGGGTTTTTTTATCTGTTCGCTTAGCGATTATCTGCCCCACCATCACTTTTTTCTTATTCAGTGGAATGTTGCAAAAAGCTTACACTTTTAAGCATCTGGGTTTTTTGCCTTGCTTTCAAAGGAGAAGAAAAAAAAAAAAGACATTTGTGGTTTTGCTTATACCTTCTTATAACATCTGAACCCAGTAGCTAATTTCAGTGTAATTTTGTAGAGGGAGGGAGGTCTTGTAGGAGTTGACAGATAAAGGATAGAGGCACAGGTAAGCATGCTCACTGGCAGACTGGCAAAAGACAAAAAACCCTTTTCAATGACTTTTTTTTTTTTTTTTTTAATGCTGGTTAGACAATCAGTTAGGGCTCATGTGCTGTCCAGTCAGAAAATGTCCGTTAGCCTTTCTGTTTGGAGGGAAGCGGAGTACTTTTTCATGGGAAGGTTTACAGGATGTAGAGCACTGATCATCATGAAAATTGAGGGGGTTTTAATTCCACTGCTGATGGGACACCATATTTGAGTAAAGAAATAGGGGAGATGTCAGTACAATAAAAAAACCTCTTATCCTCTTTGAATTGAAGTTTTTGTAGAGTTGAGGTATTCATAACCTCTTCTTCCTGGATTTTCCAGTATCTAATAAATATAATTGTGTATCTTTTCACCCTGGGCGGTGTTAAATGGGGCTCTCTAATCATTTGGGATTTTTTGTGAAATATGACTGAACTTGGACAGCAGATTGCAAAGATATCTTCTGCCAAATGTTGCTGTAACTGGCCAGTAGAGATGAATGGGCACTGACAGACATGCTTTCAGATGCAGTGTGGTGATGTTAATCTCATTTCACTAAAAACTAGTTGAAAAATATTACTGGGGATTTTGATCGTTTGTACTTAAAAATAAACAGGCCCTGAAATACAGGTAGTAAAAAATATGAATAAAAATGTCCACTATCTTCAGAGGATGTTGGGATTTGATATACTGTGCAATTCTTTAGATTCTTTTTTGTGTGTTATAGGCTGATGGATGCTAGATGATGTTTTGAATACCAAATAACTTGAGTCTTTAAAAGCAGCCAATAAACAGCTCCTTTTTTTCCTCTGCAGACTATATATATTCTTGGCCAGTAACCATCCATTTATTGAAATGTTCCCATTATTTGTAATTATCACTAAGTTCCTACCAATTTTTCATTTTAATAGTAGGTTGTCATTTTTAATATAACATGATCCATTTGCTAAACTTAAGCCTGTAACTCAGCGTTTTGAGGTTATAAATAAATCCTTTTCACAGAATCAAGAGGGTTTTTTCATAGTCTATAAAATCTCTTGTTCCTCTACTTAAAATTTTACACCAACAAATTAAATTAGTCTTTTAAAATTGCAGTTAATTTTTTTGTTTGCAAGTGAGGTATGACAATTTAGTATGGGATAATTAGGGATCAAATGGATCAGATGGTGAGAGGTGGAATATGCAACCATACCTCAGAAGAAATAACTGGAACAGTATCTTGTTTTCTTTCTTTTTCCTCTAATTAATTTCTTCAAGATAGAAGAGTAGAGTTATGCCAATTTACACAAGCTTTCCATCTTATTGGTGTCATATGATGGCCAACTCATCAGTAAGCTTAAATGATTATGGGGCCGCAGTTGCCAGGATGAGACATTAGAGAGCTCCTTGGTTAATTAATACTAGTCTTTCCTGGAGAAGAATTTGCAAAATTAGGTATCCTGACATTTGTTCTCAGTCTGTTGATAATATACAAATAATTTCTGATCAATAAAGCCGTGGGTTCCACTCTTGGAGCTCTTACTGCTTTAGCAATGCCTAGAAAAATAGGAGTATGTGTAAATGAAAACTTTTCCCATGCTCTGCTAACAGCTGAAATGGGGACAGGAATGTGTTTCCTTGTAACCGTCATCTAGATGATGAGTTTGAACATGAGCAGTATTCAGAGCTGAGAGTTTCTTCTTTAACTTCCTTCCACCGTGCAAGCAGAATGAACATTTAACAGCTCTGGTACTCATTTTTCTGAGTCATTTGTAACCTGTTTCCCTCATAGAATTCCAACTTGTGTCTTTAGTGTACTAACTTAAACATTCTTCTTTGCAGTCTTCACCAGTCTGCATGGTTAAAGGCAAAGAAGATCACAGGAAGGAACAAGCAGCCAAAATCATCCAGAGACACTGGAAGATGTACCGAAACAAGGTGAAATTCTCCTATCAGGGAACAGCAAGGACACCCCCCTCTGAATCTTACTCTTGTTTTAGCATCTACAGTAACCTGCTGCCAGGCTCCAGGAACTGCAGCAGTGCTTCCCAGTATGATTCCTTACCACCATCTTCTCTTCCACTTCTTTTTTTCAAGTCCTCCCTGCTGCTTCTTTTCCCTTTGCTCCCTAGTACCCTGTTGTTTCTGTTACAAGATAGCCAGTTTCTGAATGGGGGAGTCTCAGTGAGAGAGAAACTAAGGAAGAGTAGCAGTCCTTGAAGCAGCCCTGCTGCTGTTGCCTCCTTGGAGTACGACTGAGAAGTTACATTCCCCTTGCAGAAATCCTCCAAACAATACAGGAAGTTTCATGTATTGAGTTACACCCAACGAGGACAAAATAATCTAGAAAAAAAGTGTTAACCTTAAATTTTGTTCTGTGAGCAACAACATAATGCTGCTTTTTCCACCTGTAGGACATAGAGTGTAAGGTGGGTCTTGTAATTGCTTCTTAGGAAACTAAAGACAAAAGAACTATCCACACATCTTTCAAAGATTAAAAGCTTTATTTTCGTCAAGTTTGTTGTTTGAGTTTTCAGGGGGAAGTGGGGCAGGTATTTTCTGTGTGTTTTAATTGTTGGGGAAAATTTGGAAAGTATTAGATAATGCCACAAATATATATGTTTTAACTTGGGCATTTTTCATTTCAGAAGGAAGAAATTGCTCTGGATAAGGTGAGTGTGTTTTATGACACCCAACAAAACAGTAAAACAGATTTAATTTGTATCAAAGCACAAATAACTTAATACAACCTCTTTAAAATTTATAGTAATATGAACTGTTGTACCAAGATCGTGTTTGTTCTTCAGGCCAGCTCATGATCTACCTTCTGACATCCTGGTTTTGTTTGATATGTCTTGTCAAAGTGTTCCCCTTTTGGTTTCAAATTTTCTGTACTTGGTACCTTCGGCAAGATGAACGCTTCTGAAAATTTTGAAAAAAATTTGATGCAAAGGAAAGTTTTTCTGTATTAGGTAATTCTAATAATGCTTTAATGATGAGTCTTCAGAAAGATTGAAGCCTTTGCTAAGGTGAAAGGTCTCTATTATGAAGAAATTGACTTTGGCACATTTGTCGCTTTTTGATTAATGTTTTGCACAAAGGTTTTGATTAAACTGGTTTTCAAATAGCACATAGTAGCATATTACATTTGTTTCTTCCAGAACATTAAAAATCGTATGTTCAGAACATTAAAAATCATACGTTCAGAAATTAGATCAAGTTGTAACCATGTGATGCAAACATGCTGGTTTACATCTAGATGCTTTTTGTTGATTACAATCCAGTAAAACCTCTGAGTAGAGAGGAAAGACTTATGTTTAGCGTAATCACCACAATAGTCTGCCAGACTTGGTGTGCTTTCTGATTGTACCAGAGTGTCACAGAGCCTGCTGGGTAGCCAGAATCTAATACAGTAATGGGAGCATGTTGCTGTATTTGTGAAATATAGGCTAGTGCTGGCAGCTAGAATTTAACTGCATTTGATAGGATCGATCATGAGCACCTCCCAGACGGAATTTAAACCACGGAGATGTATGTCTATGGGTTGTCACAGGCTGGGGATTCTCTGGATTGCAGCACAGTACCTGTGAAGTAATAGGGATGTGTGTGTGTCCCTTAAACATAAGAAAATGTCAAGACATCAAAGAGTTTCCATTGCACAGGGAAAAGTTATTTTCCCCATGTGCATCTTCCCTCTGGATTCTTGTCTTAATTTATAACTGCCATCTTTCAAAGGAGCTAACATCTACTTATTTCTTTCCGTGCTAGGCAGTCGTTATGCTTCAGGCAGCTTTCAGAGGACATCTAGCTCGACAGAAACTGTTACTGAGTAACAGGATGCATGATGCAAAATCTCACAACAAGGTAATTGTTGGGGCAAATGGGTATCCAGGCATGCCATTATGTTTAGTTTACTGTGTAAAGTACTGTACTTCCAGACTTAATTCTCTGAATCACCTGGTGATATTGTTTTAATGCACTGGTTGGCAGCACCACTGTAATTCCAGACAGATACCGAGCTCATTCCCTAGCTTCCCTTTCCATCTTCTTTAGTTCACAGTTTTTCTTAGAAGTAAAGCTATAACTTCTCTGCATTATGGACTGTAACTAGGTCTCCTCTCTTTTTTTCTGGTTCTCCCATCAGCCAGTAACTAACCTTTAACTCTTTAATTCAGAGTGCTATTGAAAATGGTACTTGCTTTCAAGTGTTCACTGAATCATTGTAGTAATAGATAAGCCTTTGTCACCGAAGTTCAGAAATAAGAATTTGGAAAGAATCTCTGATTAGATTGAAAAGTAAAGGAATCTTGCATGTGGCATGCTCAACCAAAGACTTGTAGTGTCCTCTGTCGTGTCAAACTCACTCCAGATTGCGCAGTTCTGAATATGAAAAAAATTTCTTACCAATTAGACATTTCATTTCTGTAAATCATTTGCCAACGTACATGAACATCCTTTGGACCTTTAGAAGATTAAAGTTAATTTGTAATTCTCCATGCAGGTTGTCCATCTAGGTGCACTTTACATGCACTTTTATTTCAGTAAACTGGCCCAATGTAGTAGCACTGAATACTTCTGTTGATACAAGCAGAAGATATATCCATCATGAAGGTTGCCTTACTTCCTTTGACTTCAAAAGGTTTCCTTCCTAGAAAATAAATGAACTTTCCTTGCAGGTGTCTGCTCTTTCATTAATTGAATACAGATGCTTCAAAGCTTGTATGATGATCAGATTTGCATTTCCT